AAAAAAAAAGTGAAATAAAACGTACACAGAACATATAAAAAGAAGGAAGGGTTCTACATATAAAAATGCAGAGGAAAGAAACTCAGTAAAATTTCACTGAACTTTAATTTTGACGACAACATATAAAGCTCATATTTTGAAGATTAAATTCATTTTCTGATATACAAATATACAGCAAATTATAGACTATTACCACGTTTTGTCCGTACGACTATTTGTCCCTACAACGTTTTGCCCGTGCAACTATTTGTCCCTCGACGTTTTGTCCATGCGACGACTTGTCTGCAACGATTTGTCTTGCAACAAAAAGTCCGGTCACCGAGAGATAAGACTCAAGTGGTTACGTAGATAACAAGAAAACGAAAGTTGAAGAGAATAATAATCAAATAAATGATATGGTTGGATCTTTTCTCTTTCGTGTCTTCTTAATGACCATATTTTTCAGTGAAACTAGGCAGACTTTGTCCTTGAGCGGCAACAAAGAAACAATCGACATTAAATAAATAGAAAAGGTAATATATATTCAAATAGCAATCTATTCTTAACAAAACACGATGGCCAACCAAGTAACAAATATAGCATCGACAATGAGTGAATATCAAAGACAACGTATAGTTGAAAACTATTTAGTCATCTGGGTCGATGGAAATATCGACATCGCAAACAAAGATTATCAAAATACAATTGAAGAATTGCGAGCAGTCGTGAATCAAGTGCTTCTATGTACAACAGCTGAACAATGCATTCAACAGTTGGTTGATAATGAAGAGCAGATCTCATTCGTTATCTCCTCTGGTACAATAGGACAACACTTGGTACCAGACATCCATGGCATGGAAACATTGAATGCCGTTTTTATATTTTGTGGCAACGGACAACAACATCAAACATGGACTCAAAATTGGCCAAAAATAAAAGGTGTCTATACCTCCCTGAAGCAAATTTGTGAAAAGATGGAAATGGCTATCAAACAATACAATCATGACAATATCTCGGTGGGCATTATCGGTGTGAATGAAGGAGGTTCTAGCAAAAACCTTGATGAGTTAGAACCTTCTTTCATGTATTCCCAAATATTCAAGGAAATACTCCTTGAGATAAAAAACGACCAAAAAGCTGTGCAAGATTTTGTCAAGTTTTGCGAACAAGAATACCAAGGCAACAACAAGGAACTCAAAATTATCGACGAATTTCAACGAACATATCAAGCATCAAATGCCATATGGTGGTATACGCGCCATAGTTTTACATACAAAATCTTGAATGGTGCATTACGAACCCTCAATGGCGATGTGATGATTCGAATGGGATTTTTTTTATGTGATCTACATCGACAAATCGAAGCCATGTACACGAATCAGGTCAGTCAATACCATGGGGAGATCTTTACAGTCTATCGAGGACAAGGTCTATCGAAGACTGATTTCGAAAAGCTCGCAAATAACAAAGGCGGGCTTATTTCTTTTAATAACTTTCTATCAACCAGTAGAGATCATGATGTCTCCCACCTTTTTGCCGAAAGCAACTTAGCAGCAACTGATACAGTCGCTATTCTTTTTGAAATTATCATCAATCCGACAGTCTCTTCTTCTCCATTCGCCTCCATTAGGGAGGAAAGTCACTTCAATACTGAAGAGGAAATTCTCTTCTCCATGCACACCGTCTTCCGAATTGATGATATTCGAAAAATTGACAACGATCGTCCATTTTATCAGGTCAATCTAAAACTTACGTCGGATGATGACCCACAACTTCGTGAATTATCTGATTTTATACGAAAAGAGGTCAACGGCACCGGATGGTTTCGAATGGGAAAATTCCTGCTCAAAATTAGTCAATTCAACAAGGCCGAAGAACTGTATAACGCACTACTCGAACAGACCTCCAACGACAGCGATAGAGCATATATCTATCACCACCTTGGATGTTTGAAAGACGCTCAAGGACAATACAAAGAAGAAGCTTCCTTTTACCAAAAGTCGCTCGAAATTTATCGAAAAACTCTTTCGGAAGATCATCCTTCATTGGCTTCTACCTACAACAACATCGCTGCAGTGTATAACAACATGAGTAACTACTCGAAAGCACTTGAATTTTACGAAAAATCCCATAAAATCGGCGAAAAAGCACTGCCTCCGAATCATCTCGAATTGGCTACTTCCCACGGCAACATCGGTCTCGCATACTATAACATGGGTGAATACTCGAAAGCGCTTGAATTTAACGAAAAAGCACTTCAAATTAGAGAAAAAGCTCTGCCTCTGAATCATCCCGATTTGGCTACTTCATACAACAACATGGGTCAAGTGTATAACAACATAGGTGACTACTCGAAAGCACTTGAATTTTACGAAAAATCACTTAAAATAAGAGAAAAAGCTCTTCCTCCGAATCATCCCGATTTGGCTACTTCATACAACAACATCGGTCTTGCGTATTACGACTTGGGTGACTACTTGAAAGCACTTGAATTTTACGAAAAATCACATAAAATAAAAGAAAGAGCTCTGCCTCCAAATCATCCCAATTTGGCTACATCATACAACAACATCGGTCTTGCGTATTACAACTTGGGTGACTACTCGAAAGCACTTGAATTTTACGAAAAATCACATAAAATCTACGAAAAAGCTCTGCCTCCGAATCATCCCAGTTTGGCTACTTCATACAACAACATCGGTGGAGTGTATAACGCAATGGGTGACTACTCGAAAGCACTTGAATTTTACGAAAAATCACATAAAACAAAAGAAAGAGCTCTGCCTCCGAATCATCCCGGTTTGGCTACTTCATACAACAACATCGCTGGAGTGTATAGCAAGATCGGTAACTACTCGAAAGCACTTGAATTTTTCGAAAAAGCATATCAAATCTACGAAAAAGCTCTGCCTTCGAATCATCCCAATTTGGCTACTTCATACAACAACATCGGTCTTGTATATAAAAACATGGGTGACTACTCGAAAGCGCTTGAGTTTTACGAAAAAGCACATAAAATAGAAGAAAGAGCTCTTCCTCCGACTCATCCCGATTTGGCTACTTCATACAACAACATCGGTCAAGTGTATAACAACATGGGTGAATACTCGAAAGCACTTGAATTTTACGAAAAATCACTTAAAATAAGAGAAAAAGCTCTTCCTCCGAATCATCCCGATTTGATTACTGCATACAACAACATCGGTGGAGTGTATAACTACACGGGTGACTACTCGAAAGCACTTGAATTTTACGAAAAATCACTTCAAATAAGAGAAAAAGCTCTGCCTCCGAATCGTCCCGATTTGGCTATTTCCTACAACAACATCGGTCGAGTGTATATGAACATGCGTAACTACTCGAAAGCACTTGAATTTTACGAAAAATCACTTAAAATTGACGAAAAAGCTCTTCCTCCGAATCATCCCGATTTGGCTACTTCATACAGCAACATCGGTCTAGTGTATATCAACATGCGTAACTACTCGAAAGCACTTGAATCTTACGAAAAATCACATAAAATCTACGAAAAAGCTCTGCCTCCGAATCATCCCAATTTGGCTGCATCATACAACAATATGGGTGAAGTGTATAACAACATGGGTGACTACTCGAAAGCACTTGAATTTTACGAAAAATCACTTCAAATAAGAGAAAAAGCTCTGCCTCCGAATCATCCCAGTTTGGCTACATCATACAACAACATGGGTCAAGTGTATAACGCAATGGGTGAATACTCGAAAGCACTTGAATTCTATGAAAAGTCATTTAAAATCTGCGAAAAAGCTCTTCCTCCGAATCATTCAAATTTGGCTACTTCATACAACAATATCGGTCTTGCGTGTTACAACTTGGGTGACTACTCGAAAGCACTTGAATTTTACGAAAAAGCACATAAAATCTACGAAAAAGCTCTTCCTCCAAATCATCCCAATTTGGCTACTTCATACAACAACATCGGTCTTGCGTATTACAACTTGGGTGACTACTCGAAAGCACTTGAATTTTACGAAAAATCACATCAAATCTACGAAAAGGCTCTGCCTCCGAATCATCCCGATTCGGCTACTTCATACAACAACATCGGTCTAGTATATGGTAACATGGGTGACTGCTCAAAAGCACTTGAATTTTACGAGAAATCACTTAAAATCTACGGAAAAGTTCTGCCTCCGAATCATTCCTTATTGGCTACTTCCTACCACAACATCGGCACGGCATATGCCGATAAAGGTGACTACACGAAAGCACTCTCATTCTTAGAAAAGGCACTTGTTATCTTTCAAAAATCACTTCCTTCTAATCATCCTAATATTATAACGGTCACAAATTCAATTGACATTGTAAAAAAGAAAATGTAACTGTAATTTTTTCTTCTCTTGCTCAATAAATTTATTCACATTGCTTTTTATTTCGACTTTTCTTGGGTTATTTTAACATAAGCGCGCGGGCGCGACAAGGGAGAGATTCCTTGTCAATGCCATAGGTACCACAGGCGGACTACGCCGGACTGGTAGGGCAACGGTCGAAGGTATGCCGTATGAACGGTAGGGACCAACGGCACATAGAGGCTTTCCATAGTACTACACTGCTTCACTGTGGCAAAGTTCCTCTCCCTATTGAATCAGACAACGTAGCTGTCTGACCCAGAGTGATAACATCGATAACTCAACTCCACTCATACTCGTATTTGTCTAAGTCTCTCTCAATCTAATTCAATGTATCACCAACTATGCATATATACATATGTATGCATAGATTTAAGAAATTAAGTCCATCCGAAATTTTCTTTTTTTTTAAGACTCAATCTAACATACATTCATAGATGCTTGTGCATATATGAGATAATCTCAACTTAAAACTCGACTTTAACTGAAAAAATTTTTTTTTTCATACCTCTCCATATTGTACTGTATCTTAGCTCATCTATAAAAAAATGTTGTTAAATATAAAGACAAATAATTTACCTTATTTAAACTATAATCATATCATATTATCATTGTAAATAATATATTAATATACTCGGGTATATAAATACTTTGTAATGCATCATAATCATAAGAATTGAATTTGTTGTTTCGTGACGATACATCGATGTTTTTATATATGTAGTGTTTAATTGATCAATGCTCATGGTTTTTGCTTGATTTGTTTTTCTTTATTAATCATTAAAATACACGTGAATTAATGTTGCACATATGTGTTAATTGATATGTTCAACAGGTAACACGACATAATTAATTTGATGATCAATTTAATTTATATGTGATGATATGTTTATGTTTTGTTAACTTTTTTTTGTCTCATCTGACGACGTAGATTAATATCATGTCGTCGTCGAAAAAAAAAGTACTCATCCTTATACATATATACAGGGTGTCTGAAAATTCACTGACCAAAAAAAAATTTGAATATCTCCCTTACGGCTCAAGCAAACGAGCTGGTTTTTTTATCAATGATAGAGGAATGTTCAAAGTTTATATCTATAAAGACATGTCTAGAGAAACCCTTTGTTAAGTATTACTATTGGCCTCAACAAAAAAGTTTTACTTTTTCACAGATAGAAAAAAAAACAATATACTTAACAAAGGGTTTCTCGGGGGTGTGGGTGTGGGTGTGGGTGTTGGTGTGGGTGTGGGGTCTGAGTGTGGGTGGGTGTGGGTGTAGGTGTGGTTATGGGTATTGGAGTGGGTGTAGGTCTGGGTGTGGTTATAGGTATGGGTGTCGGTGTAGGTCTGGGTGTGGTTATAGGTATGGGTGTCGGTGTGGGTCTGGGTGTCGGTGTGGGTCTGGGTGTGAATCTTTTCTTTAACAAAGACCTACACCCACACACACTCACAAAATAAGATACAGAGTAGATTGTTGGACATTTGTTATCCCATTCATTTATATGACAAGCAATATATCAATGTTTTTCTTCGAGCCAAAACGATGAACGAAATGGTTCAAGTAATGAAAATCGGTCTTGATTATAAACAAGATTTTGTGAAAGACTAAATTTAAAATTGAATTTAATCCATCCTCTCCTCCTCACAAATCCTTCCCAACGAACGCCATTAAACAAATCAAATGTACCGGTTGGTTCGATTGTTAAATGTGATAATTATGGTAGATAATTCCAACATTGCTCGAGTAAATTAAATAACATTTCTATTCCTATAATAGAACAGACAATAAAGTCTTTCATAAACAAAATTCATTTTACTGCGATCAAATGTGATATTGAGACGCTTGAGATACATTAAACTTTGACAGAGTTTCTTTAATGTTGATGGGAAATTATCATTATCTCTTCGAAGAGAGACCTTGAGACTGATGATTGAACCTTCAAAACATTGAATAATCTCATAAAGACGATTAATTAAGCAAAATGAATCGATTGTCAATTGTGTTAGTAGAGGTAATTGAATACTGACCGATTGAATCAATCTTTCATTTTCAATATTCAAATGAGTTAAGATCATGGCTTGATAAGTAAGCAAATTATCAATACTATGGTCTCGATACATCTTCTAGAAACATTTTCTGAATGATAGACGAGAAACACATTGTGGCAAATCCAATAAATAGTTTTCTGTTTTGATAAATTTGACCGATTGAAGACAAATAAATTGATGTTCGAAATGTGGAAAATATTTGAGAAAAAGTTTAACTTGATCGGGCATTGTTTCTTCGAAAAAAACAATTGAAAGAACTTGTTTAGGTTGTATATGGCGACAAAGAAAATCAAAATCCGATCGAAAAATCCCTTGTAAGTTTAGTCAAAGTCGATACAGATTGAGAATTGTATGCAACTGATGATTCAGACCAATGAAAGCTCGAAAAAGACCGACGGAAGACAAATAGTTGAAAATTTCGAAGAAAACTTCCGTTGAAAATGATTCAAGATGCGAACGCATTTTTAATTATAAAACGTGGCAAGTTCGTGAATATACGAACCACATCTTTGCATAAACGACAGAAGGAGAAATAATTGAAGTAGTGCATGCACATGCTTATCAGTAAAATATCACGACCACGTCATCACGTTGAGTCATTCTAGTGCTAACTTTGATTATGAAAAATGAAGCACTCACTTTCACTGGTATAACAAAACTTCCATCACTTTAATAGCTCGAATAAACTAACTTATTATCCGAACAAGAGGATTATCGTACTGTTCGAGATCAAAAATCGAAGGGTGGGTGTGAGTGTGTGTGGATGTGGGTGAGTGCGAATGTGAGTGGCGGGTGTGGGTGTGAGTGTAGGTGTGTGGGTGTGGGTGTGAGTGTAGGTGTGTGGGTGTGGGTGTGGAAGTGTAGGTGTGGAATCTGTTTAATCACGTGCACACCCACACCCACACCCACTAACCTTTTGTTATACATTCTTCATCAGAAAGAAAATTCTTTGCTGAGTGTTGATATCAGACATTGACATTGATCATTCATATCTTTTGAAATATCAGATTATTGAGGACGAGAGTACATAAGAAGACAAATAGGTCTATTAGTATTTTAGTGGCATAAAAAATATTGCTACTTACATTGCTCGCATTGGCCAATATTTTTCTAGTACATGGCCTGTTAATGTAAGTATTTATACTTTTCGAGATACTTTTTATTTTTGTTTCATTGAAAAATTAATATACATATGTAATCCTATTTTCTAGATTAAATTAACAGAAATCCAAGACAAAAAAGCAATACGTCCAAACAGTCGCTTGAATTATGTTTTGGAAATTGATGATATTGAAAGAAATGGCTATAGATTTACGGATGGTATCGGTAAAATATCATGGGGTCTAGCTGGACGTGTTGCTCAAAAAATGAATATTCCAATATATTGCCAGGTTTATTTCAACAATTTATATTCAATATTTATTTAGTTTTATTTTAGGAAGATATTCCATCAGCATTTCAAATACGTGTAGCTGGTTGTAAAGGTATGGTAGCTATTGATCCTGAGTCAACATTAAATGATTATTATATTCATATACGTAAATCTATGAATAAATTTGATGGTGGAGATTGGAATTTAGAGATATGCGAATATGCTCGACCATGTAAGATATTAATATTGAATGATTGTTACTTTTTTCTATAATATAATCTTTGATTATTTAGTACCATTAACATTAAATAATCAAGTGATTCGACTTTTAAGTGATTTAGGCAATCATGATGGTGCATTTATTGCTCTTCAATATCGAAGTTTTACTCAATGGGGAAATTCCTGAAGAGCAACAACCTAGTGCTATTGATATAGCAGTACAAAAAAATAATTCTTATTCATTATCGTAAATATTTAATTTTTTTTTTCATTAAATTTAGAAATTCATAAATGAATTATTTCTTTTAGAAAAGATAATTTACTCACGAATCGTATACCTATTCCTTCAATGGATGGTCGAAATTTATTTGGCGTAGCCGATGAAACTGATGAATTACAATATGGACAATGTTTTATACAATATTCTACATTAACTCCAACTAAGAAAGGTCAAGGAAGATTTCAAGTTGTTACTGGTAAGTTTTCTATGAATATAGAATAGTCATAAGAAATTCCGCTCCCAACTAAAATTTGACTATAAATAGATTTTGATAAAGTACAAATCCGAAGTTGTAATCAAAGTCTAAGACTAAAGTTTAAATATTTCTTATCTTATATGCAAGACTTTTCTTCAAGGTACGGTAATCGTTACAAAAAATCCATGTCTATGGCCTGGTGATTTTCGTCGATTAACAGCTGTACGTAATGAAAAATTAGAAGCATGTATGCGTGATGTAATTGTATTTCCAACAAAAGGTGAACGTCCACATTCAAATGAAATAGCTGGTTCAGATTTAGATGGTGACCAATATTGGGTTTATTGGGATGATAGTTTAAGAATTGAAAAAAATGTCGAACCATTATCATATATTGGAGCAAAAAAATTAGAAATACCATCAATTACTTCAGAAAACATCATTGAAAATATTGTTAATTCATTTGGAGCTAGTATAATTTTAGGTATGATTGAAAATACTCATACAGTTGTAGCTGATAAACATTCAGAACATTCATTCTCAGAACCTTGTAAAAAATTAGCTGAATTATTTTCACTTGCTGTTGATTCACCAAAAACAGGACATTTTATTGAAATGGAAAAGCTTAGACCATTTCAAAAAGAATATTGTAAAGATTGGCCAAAATATATGAGAAAATCTGGTGAACGAACATATTAATCAATAAGTGTGTTAGAAAAACTTTATTTAAGAGCTGAAGAAAAATATTTTAAATTGAAAGAAAAACCTATGATTAATACATTTCCACAAAAATTAAAAGCTATAAAATGTGCATCAACAAATAGTATTCAAGATGAAAGATTTAAAAAATGGCTAGATGGAGATATTTATCAAGAAGATATAAATCGAAAGAAACCTGTAAGAAAGAAATCTAATAAACTTGCTAAAGACGTTTCATCAAGTGATGAACAATCAATTCCATCGTAAGATTTGAAAGTTTTTTTTTATTGTCATAATTATTAATTTTAAATTATGTCAGATCAAATGAAAAAAAAATCTACTAAACCGCCAATAACAAAAAATGAAAATTCACACGAAGAAATAAAAAGTCATGTGAGAAAATCATCACATAGTAGATTGAATCAATCAGAAATACCTTTAAAAATAGAACCTGAATCAAATACAAAACAAAAGAAATCTTCAAAGTAAATTTCTTTTCATTTTGTTACTTTTACTTCTACAAACAATTCTTCTAGATTTTTATAGTATAGAAAGTGCCTCTGCATTAATAAATTCTAGTATTTCTTCATCATCATCATTAGCAACATCAAATATCGATGAATATCATACTGATTTCCTTATGGCTGTTGATATGAAAACTACGATTCAAACTGTTGTAGAATTTTCTCCAGTTAACAACAATTTATTTGTAGTCAATACAAAAAAAGAACCAAATGAATATCCTGATAGACAAGAAATAATACGTAAACTAGTAGCATTTCTCGGAAATCAGAATATTTTCAAGAAAAGAACATCTCTTTACAATGAATCAATACATGGATCACTTTATTTAATAGTTTTCTATGGTCATATATATTTTTTTCAAAATAAATTTCCTGATAAACTTGGTCCATTAAAAAAATATATTACAGCAGAAGAAAGTAATAAAATCATTCGTTTTAATTATGCTAATTTTGATAAATTAAATATTTCAGAAGTAAGTTCAATTTAAATTTATTATTAACTATCAAATTTTTTCTCCTCAATCATTCATTTAGTCATCACATTCAACAACAAAGAAAAATAAAATTGACTATGAATTTGATTGTTATGTAAACTCATCTCCATCTGAATATATTACATTATTATATGATAAAAATAAAATACTTCAACAAATACGTGTCTATTATAAATGGTCAAAATGTTTTGTACGTCAACCAAATTTTAATGTAGATAGTTTATATGAAATACGTTCTGTATTGACACATGAATCAAATTCATCAGAATTTACTAGAATTATGAAATTAATTTTTAAAAATCAATCAACAGAATTATTCAATGGTCGTAAACCTAATATTAAAATTGATCGTAGTATTCTTCTTCCATCAGTCATACCAATTAGTCTTAAAATTATTGAAGAAGATCAAGAAATTTATATAGATCAATCGAATATTGAAAGTTTTTATCGAAAAGTGAAATATGTATCAATAGATGAACAAGAAGAAAAACCGAAAGTTTATTTAACTATGGAATATCATGTTTCATCAATGAATAAGATCAAAGGAATTTTAGAACAAGTCTGTGATTTTGCTCTTTCTCCAACTGAGAAAACTTCATTAGTTCGACAATATTCAACATCATCAACTGCAAGTACGACATTGACTTCATTACAGGGATTTTCAATATTTTCCTATTAGTAAAATGTATTTATTTAATGTACTATCTTGACAATTATGTTTTTTGACACAGAATAAATAAATAAATAAACAAGAAACATTGTCTGCTTGTTAAGAGAATTAACTTCTAATGGACTTTTACTAAAGTATCTGAATCTTTCAAAACTGCTAATTCAAAATCATGATTTTTGTAAATTTTCGTGAGTGACAGATGTTGATATAAAAACTTTTTAAACATAATTAAAAGATAGAGTTCTTTGTGGACTACAAAATGATTATTAAAAAAAGTACGTTTTGGGTCAAATCCAATAGAATATTTGAAATTGTCATAAAAGAATAAGTCGAATCGTATGTGTTTCGAACCTTTGAATTGAACTTTTTTCTCGAAAAATTTATCTGGGCTATCCTTTAGGGCTCAGTGGTAAAAATGAATTTAATCAATATACATTTTTTATCCTTTAATTGCCTGTTATTTTGTCGTGTAGTACTGTTTTATAAGCTTAGAGCTTTACTTGCATTGTTTCAATGGTTTTCTAATTAAATTTGTGTTTGTAACTAAACACTGAAGTGTGATAGGCCAGGTAAACTTTTCGAGAAAAAATTTCAATGAAAAACTTCAAACCATGTACGATTCGACTCAGTTTTTTATTTTAATTCCAAATATCCTAATGTTTTTGATCCAAACTGTACTTTTGTTATCGAAATCAATTAAATACCAGTTAAAAATATTTGTAGTCCTTCCTTCGAGTTTCCAGAATTGATCGAAAGCTCATGTCGTTTTTATTTCCTTTCTTGAAATATTTAGAAAAAAGTGAGCAGAAATGATAATTCAAGTAGATCATTCTTGTGCTTGTTCGGAACAACATTTATATCAGTATTCAGCAACGCTTAAACGGTTCAAGTTGAAATTTTCATCAAAATTAGACTGTAGGATAATTACTTGATTAGCATAATTTTCGATTCAATATATCTTGCTATTAGAAAGCTTGCATGTCAATTAATGTTGAGCGATAAATAGAGAGTGTGGGTAACAATAAGAAAACCCACATCTACACCCCAATAATGAAAAATGGGGTCCACAGAGTGGTTAGGACCATTTAAGGAATAAAGGGGTTTTGAAAATTTTCATTGTGATATTTGTAAGCAGTACCCATGAATCTACAAGCAGATTTGGTTTTGACTAGGGGTGGGACATTATTTCTAATTCAACTTAATTAAGTCACTTAATTAAGAAATTTTACTTAACACTTAATTTTAAGTGTTAAGTTTTTTGTAAGAAAACTTAATTTCTTAATATTAAGCTTTAATAAAAAAACTTAATTCTTAAAAATAAGTCTTAATAAAAAAACTTAACGCTTAAAATTAAGTTTTACGTTTTTTCTAAGAAAAATTAATTTCTTAATATTAAGTTTTAATAAAAAACTTAACGCTTAATTTTAGGTGTTAAATAAAATCTCTTAATTAAGTGACTTAATTAAGTTAGATAAGAAACAATGGTCGGCCTTAAGTTATCAGAGATGCTCTACAAAAATTCCTCATAGAACCTCCCAGCTATCCATGAAATAAACGAGTTAGAATTTCCTGCAATCTGATTGGCTGTTATAAAAGAATTTTAACCAATCAGATTTCAGAGCGGTTTTTCTCTCTGAAGATGAGGGAGGAACATAGGATTGTTCAGGCCAATTTGAGGTTATCGAGGGTGCTCTACAAAAGTCCTCATAGAACCTCCCACAGTTACCCCTGAAATAAACGAGTTAGAATTTCCTGCAATCTGATTGGCTCTTATAAAAGAATTTTAACCAATTAGATTTCAGGGCAGTTTTTCTCCTTGAAGATGAGGGAGGAACATAGGGTTGTTCAGGCCAATTTGAGGTTATCGAGGGTGCTCTACAAAAGTCCTCATAGAACCTCCCACGGTTACCCCTGAAATAAGCGAGTTAGAATTTCCTGCAATCTGATTGGCTGTTATAAAAGAATTTTAACCAATTAGATTTCAGG